GTCACAGGTTTCGTCATTCGCCACAGACATTTTCAAAATGGTCGTGACGAAAGGTTTCGTCAAATTGACGTGACGAAGTGTTTCGTCATCGTCAAGTATCATTAAATGCAATACAAAACAAATTGACAAATGAATAAACAACTATTTAACACCACTTTATATTACCTCCCCCCCCCCCCTTAATTTGTATATATCGATGGAAGGAGTTCAAAAATTGAATGTTACCTAACGTTAGTGCTCCAACCGGGTCGGGTCCAATCCGTGACGATCCGGAACGTATATTTCGGGTCTGGTTAGGTTGGGGTCAAACCCGACCTGAAATATCTCGGGTCGGCCTAAAAAACGTTATTTCTCGTTCAATATTAATTGAAATTAAACGAAAATTCGTGGATATATACACAATTACATTTCGAAAAACTCAACTTAGGACACAAAATATAAGTATATTAATAATAATAAACGTTATTCGAAAAACTATTTTACGATTTTTGGGTCGAATCTGACCCGACCCGAAATTATCGGTTTGGGTTGACCTCAAACCTGACCAACCCAATCCAAACAGTGCTTTAGAAAATTATGCACGCCATTTGCTAACAGTTATCATTTTGTAATTGAATAAGAATTGGAATAAAACACCTACGAATTGGGAATTAAATTTTGCAAAAGATCTAGAAAGTGATATTAAAAATGAATATAGAAAAGATTTTAATTTGTGAAAATTATTATTAACAACAGCAAATTTGATAAAGAATTCAAAAGTTTCTGTACAACTAATAATCCAACATTATACAAATTTTCTTTGTTTTATAATTTTGTTAAAACTCATATTTGATTTATCATTATTTATCAACAAAAAGTTGAAGGACTTTTTTTAACAAATTAGACTTAAAAACCATGCAAATATGTTCAAAACAATCAAAACTTTGTTTAGCATCAGATAAAATTGAAAAGGAGAATTTGGCAATAGATCTTAAACGGATACGAATTCAAAAAAGAAAACAAAAGAACTTAACACTTCAAAATATTCAAACAACACTATTTGGAGAAGAAATCGCATCAAATCTTTTTGATTATATCGTCAATAATAAGTAAAAATTATATGATATATAGCTTTACTTTATTTATATTATGTAATTTTTTATTATATTACATAACTTATACATACATGTAGATGAAATCAAACACAATGTTACAAAAAAAACTACAAATTCATAGAAATTGTAAAATAATACTATTTACTATGATCTGATTTCTAATGTTTGATATTTATTAGTTTCGCAATATTTATTGAAAATGTCTTTAAGAATCTAAAATAGTAAATTCATTAAAAGGATAAATTAATATACGTTATACTTTTGCATTAATTATAAAAAATATGGATTTTTACGGTAGTTAAATAAGTATGAATGTAAGAAATGTTTTTTGGATTAAAAATAAATTAATAAAACTCACGAATAAAAAAATGAATTAAACTAAAGGTTATCATTAAAATGAATATATTTTTTCGAAATCAAATTATAAGCTCTGCTGCTCGTTCATGGGCCTTTTGCTATCATTTTAATGCCATATCGAAATATTTAGGAACTCAAAGCCATACTGATAACATTCTGCAAATTAATTGAAAGTAGACATAAGTAGATTCTGCGGATCTTACATAACATTCAAATGCTTTCTCTCGTTACTATTTATTCCATTTCCTTGAAAGTAGTGAGAAAATGTTGGGCATATCGAGCATTAATATTTCTGACTCAGCTGCTTTCTGGCAACACAAAAATGCTTTCTTCATAGCTCTATTGTGCTGTTGGCTTTTTTCAAAGTTTTATATTAGCAAAAACTGTAACAATGACAGCGGCAAAGTATAGCGTATAAAAGTATTTTGTTATTGGACTGGACTATCGGATTGAACTGAATTGGACCAATCCAGTTCAATTGGACCAAGTTTTATTGGACTGGACTACAATTGGACCAATGAATAAATCATGTGATTAATAAATAATGTGATTAATAAATAATGCTGTACAGTCAAACCTCATTATAGTGAAGGTGTTCGGACTATTAGTAAAAATTTTCAAAAATTCACTATATTGAGAGTTTATTAATAAATTCACTATATCGAAAGAATTTAATATATGTGGCGGATTAAAATGAAACCAGATTAAAACGAAACAGAGTGTGATGTTTAAATAATCATAGGTCAATTTACTAC